GGCAGGTGGATCTCTGTGAGTTTGAGACCAACCTGGTCTACAGAGCTAGTTCCAGGACAGCATCCAAAGCCACAAAGAAGCCCTGTCTCAGAAAGAAAACAAAGCAGAGAGAGAGAGAGAGAGAGAGAGAGAGAGAGAGAGAGCCTGTAAGCTGCAGAGGAGTTATCAGAAAGTTAACCTTCAGTTGCTGAGACAGCTGCTAGCTGTCAGTTTCATTTCTCTAAGTTTATAATTTTATATTCTCTCAACTCCCGCCCCCACCGCCCGCTGTGGGATGCCTACAGCCCTCTCCTCAGGCTGACACTTTCACCTAACAGACACAAGCTAGTTCTCCAATTCAGACATGATACAGCTGACACTGTCTGGAGATTTGTGAAGATTATATCAGAATTCTTAAAGGGATTAGTTAAAAGAGAGAGTTTTCCCATTAAAAATGGGAAACACTCATGTAAAACAATCTTGTTTCTAATTCAAATTAAAAAAATCAAAAAAAAAGGGAAACACATTACAATGGAAAGTGTCAGGTCTCTGTATGATTATGCAATGTATGATTTTAAAATGGAACATTGGAACAATTAAACAAAGGAATACTAAACTGGGATTGACATACTGTTAATTATCATCTTGGTTTATCCCTAAAAAAGTTGGGTTATATGAGTGCCAAGGTGCAAGCCTTAGAAAAACTTATTAAAGCAGATCATAGAGATATTCAGACCCAGACAGAGAAATTTAATGGAAAATAAACTTCAACATTGCATTTTAAGATTAAAGGGGAATGAGCCGGGGGTCGGTGGCGCACTCCTTTAATCCCAGCACTCGGGAGGCAGAGGCAGGCGGATCTCTGTGAGTTCGAGACCAGCCTGGTCTACAAGAGCTAGTTCCAGGACAGGCTCCAAAGCCACAGAGAAACCCTATCTCTCGAAAAATCAAAATAAACTTTTAAAAAAAGATTAAAGGGGAATGAATCTAAGGTCTTAAGAAAACCAACCTTAATATATCTGGTAACCTTATAGGAAGTGACAAATGATAAAGGTTCTATAGTCGTTCTACTAGGAAGCCTGTGACAATGATAGATTTTGGGAAATTCAAGGAAGTGATAGACTCATAGGGCTTTCATTCCCCATTTGTGAAGCAGATGATAAACACATAGTCTGTTTGTTATCCCGATAGATTGAATAGACTTGATTAAAGCTGATCTTGAGCCTGGTCGTCAATTACAGTTAGTTTCCTGGTTCAGACAGGAGGCTAAAAATATTCAACAAAATGCTAAAATGCTGCTCTGGATGATAGAAGAGCTTCCCAACACTTGGGAAACAGAAGCAGTTGTTCCAGCTCTATGAGTTCAAGGCCAGCCTGGTCTAGAAATTGAATTTAAAGGCAGGCAGGGCTACAAAGTGAGAACCTGGAGAGAGACACAGACAGAGAGCAGAAAGACAGAGACAGAGAGGATAAAAGAGAAATCCTAAAGACTCCCAGGCCTTTTCAGGGCCTGTAAAATGGATCAGTGAGTACAGATGATTGCCTTCAAGTATGATATTGTTAATACTTCATTGATTGTCTGATTTTTAAAAATAATAATGACCCAGGCTTGGTGACACATCTTTAGTGCCAGAACTCAGGAGGCAGAGAAAGAAGGATCTCTGTACGTTGGACAAAGCCTGCTCTATGAAGCAAGCTCCAGGACAGCAAGGCAACATAGAGAAACCCATTCTCCAAATTTAGTAATTAATTAACAATAATTATAATGCATTTTTGTTTGTATCTTGGACCAGTTCTTGCTGCATTATCCAGGATGGACTTGAACTTCAGGACTCAAGTGACCCACTTTTGTCAGTGTTGCTGGAATTTCTTGCCAGACAGGTCCTGTCACACTTCAGCCTCAAATAAGCACACAGAGACATATATTAATTTATAAACTGTTGGGCAATGACTAGGACTTCCTATTAGCCTGCTCTGTCTTTTAATTAATCTGTATATTTCCCTGCAGTCTTGGCTTACTGGAGAATGCATGGAACTGTTACTCCTTTGGCAGCTACATGGGATCTCTTCTTGGAGCCTCTCTCCTCTTTCCTCTGGCCAAACAGTGTTTTATTCATCAACCAATAAAATAAACATATATACAGAAGGATATCACCTATCATGTCAGGTTCTCTTATCTGAGTTCACTGGCTTTCTACATCCCACTAGAACTTAAGCTTTTGTGTGTGAACGTGTGTGTGTGTGTGTGTGTGTGTGTGTGTGTCTGTGTGTCTGTGTAATCCGCCACACACGCCTGCTTGCATCTGCAAGTATGTACCCACATGTGTGCAATATATAAGAAGGTCAGAGGGTGACATCGAAAGTCTTCCTCCACCACTCTCCTTTTTTTGGGGGGTGTGGGGATGGAATGGGTTTGGTATTGTCAAGACAGGATTATTCTGGTGGAGCTCTGGTTGTCCTGATCTCGCTCTGTAGGCCAGGCTGGCCTCCAACTCACAGAGATTCACCTGCCTCTGCCTCCCAAATGTTGGGATTAAAGGCGAGCACCACCACTACCCAGCCACCCTCCTTACAAGGTGAGGTCTGTCCTTGCACCTGTAACTCACAGTGTGAGCTGGGCTAGCCAGCTTGCCCCTGGCACCACCTATCTTTAGCTCCCTAGTGATGACAGTCCAGTCCAGCCACCATGCTAACCCAGCATTTACCTGGGTGCTGGGGACATGAACTCTACTTCTCACGCTTGCTTTCCAAGTGCTTTCACTGCTGACCCTCCCAGGCCCTTTAGTACAACCATGTATTTGTTTATTATTTATGGAGAACACCTGCATACCACAGGTGTGTGAAGGTCAGAGGACAACTAGAAGAACTGTTGTCCTTCTGCCATGTGGTCCTTGGGATCTTACTCACTCAGTCAGTTTGGCTTCAAGTGCCTTTGTCCACTGAACCATCTCATCAGCCTACCCAGCACTTAAAAATAATCTCCAAAAGTATTTATAGATGGGCATGGTGACGACACATCTCTGTAATCCCACAAGAAGACAGCTGTAACAGGAGGATTGCCACAAGTTCAAAGCCAGTGTGATCCACATAACTAAAACACTGAAGAGTCTGTGTCTAATAGTCAGTCAATCAGTTTTTGGGGTTTCAGTATTGGTCTTTGATTATGATGTAGTGAAAATGTATTGAATCAGTCTGGTTTTAGTGCTTCAGCATTAGTATTTGAATAGGGTGCAGTTAAGAGGGTAGCAGAGCACACAGCAATCAGAGCATGTGACTGACTGGCCAGCTACAGCCTGCCAAGCACATTCTGCTGGAAAAGACCATCTATGTAGACACGCGCTTCCTCGGTACAGCCAGAAAGTGGCAGTCTTGTCTAGAAGTGCATAGTAAACTAGCGCCCTGATTTCCCAAGAAAATAGGAGCAAAGAATTCTGCTGCTTGTGACTCCAGAATATGTGGGCACCTTGAAAGTGGCTGCATATGTACAAGCTTTAGATTTATTCTGTGCACTCTAAGGACTTCTTCATCTTGATGTAGAAAATGATTATATTTATAGATATATTTATAGACAGATGAACAGAAAAAAAAAAATGATGTTGCTTCCCTAAACACAGATCTTACAGAGGAGGCTCAGGGAGGTGCTGGTTAGCTGAACTTTATGTAGAGCTAAGCAAAGGCATCAAGGCTTCCAGTTATAGAGGGACCGGGAGTGGCTGCAGGCTCTGGGAGTTTGAGGGGAGGAGGCAGGAAGCAAGGGTTTTCTGGTTACACAGAGTCCCCAAAATAAAATCTATCTGTGATAGTGTCTGTGTGGACAAGCATCAAATCCCAACCTCTTCTTGCCATGAAAAGATCTTTCCTGGACAACAAGGATGGCATGTCAAAGGAATCCTGTTTATAGCCACTGGCTGGTTAATACAGATTCCTTCATGAAGCCGTGCATTTGCAGAGTGAAGTCTTTTCCACCCATTCCCATCCACAGAGATGTGAGTTTCTCCAATAATCAATTCTAATGCTGGGCATGGTGGCACATGCCTTTAATCCCAGCACTCAGGAGGCAGAGGCAGGAGGATCTCTGTGAGTTCAAGACCAGCCTGATCTACATGATGAGTTCTAGGCTAGCCAGGGTTATATACTATAACCCTCCCAAAAACAAAACCAAAAACAGCGTGGTGGTGGTGGCCCACTCCTTCAATCCCAGCACTCGGGAGGCAGAGGCAGGCAGATCTCTGTGAATTTGAGACCAGCCAGCCTGGTCTAAGAGCTAGTTCCAGGACAGCATCCAAAGCCAGAGAAACCCTGTCTCCAAAAACCAAACACACTAAAAACAGCAACAACAAAAACCCAACAAAACAAATAGCTCTAAATACTCACACATACATTCGAGCACATTCTCTTGCACACACATAGAAACACATACCCCTAAGTGTGATACTTTCCCCACATTTGAAATATCCCAGGTGCTAGGGAAGACAGAGTTTTTCTGGGTAGCCTTTATTAGGCTGGAATTTGCTATGTAATGCTGGTTATCCTCAAAAGCATAATGGCCCTGCCTCAGTCTTTCCTCAACCTCCTAAGTTCTTAGAGAGCAAGTCTGTGCTACCACACTGAGCTGCATAGGAAGTGACTGTGTGTATACATACATGCATACATACATACATACATACATACATACATACATACATACATACATACATACATACATACATACATACATACATACATACATACATACATACATACATACATACATACATACATACATACATACATACATACATACATACATACATACATACATACATACATACATACAGGGTCTTGATCTACCTAAAGCTTGAACTCTCTTCAAACTCACAATCCTCCTGCTTTAGCCTCTGCAGGGCAGGAAGTGTCTGTGAAGGAAGCAGGTCTTCTAGCCACCATTCCTGGCTATTTGTTTTTTCTTTAATGGCCTGGAACTCCTGATTCTCCTGCCTCTACTTCCCAAGTACTAGGATTACAAGCAAGCTGGAGGCATTTGCATGTCACGGTGCACCTGTGACAGTCAGGACAACCTGGTGGAGTCACTTCTCAACTCTCTTTACCTGGTTTCTGGGGATCAACCTCAGGGCAATAATATAAGATGGAGAGGCTCAAAAAACAAAAGACCCAGCCCATTCCTGAGGATGTAGCTAAGGGGTAGAGTGTTTGCCTAGAATGTTGGAGCCCTGAGTTTGATCCCTAGGGATCAGATTCTTAAGATAAATGAAATCTGTCCCAGCCTGGCCCTTTCTTTCTCCATCAAACCTGAATTCCTCCAAGCTGTTGCCAGGCAACTCATTTCTATGGCCGTCAACCTCCAGCTCTGACCTGGAGGCCTTTCCTGGGTGGGCTCGCCATCCCCTCCTTCCTCTGACTCCTCCTCTTGCCGGTGTCTACTCACTAGCTCCAGATGGGCAGGAAGTGTAACCTCCCCATACAAGGCCTTTCCAGTTTCTGAGCAGCAGAAAGCACAGGAGAGGTGGTGATGGAGAGAGCAGAGTAGAAGGTAGTGAGTTCTGGAGGACCAGGGGCCTCTCCAGCATCTCTGTCTTCCCCAGCCATCGAGCTGATAAAGGACCTGATCCACTATGACGTGCGGTTGCCTCTGCTCAAGGGCCTTGTGGCACTGCTTATCCCATCCGTCAAGGAAACTTCCAAACTGCAGGCCAAGATCTTCACTGGTAGGACTCCTGATACGGGGCTGCCCCTGGAGGAGGGAAAGGGCTTCCTGGCTAATGGTCCCTCGTTTCTTCAGAGTCATCGATTCTCCAGGTCACCACCCAGCTACCAGTGTTCTTGAAGCAGGCTGCAGCCGCCAAGACCATTGGGTAGGCCAACAGAGGGAGTGGGTGATTGCAGAAAGCCACGCCTGATACTGTCTGCAGGCCCAGGCACTTGTCTAAAAGCATGTGCCACTGTGCCCAGCTTGTAACATATCAGATCCTGAACTGAGCCCTCATCACTCCTGTTTCTGCTTTCTCCCAGCCTCTTTCAGCTTTGCCTTGCAGTGCTAAGGATGGAGCCTCAGGCCTCACAGCTGCTATGTGACATTTTATCATAACCCCAGCTGTTTCTACTTTTTAAATGTTGAGAAAATATCTTCCTAAATTACCTAGGCTTGCCTTGAACTTGCTCTCTGGTCCAGGGTGGTTTTGAGCTTCCTGCCTCCTGTCACCAATGACTGGAAAAGCAGACCAGCACTACCCAGCCCAGCTAACTCAGTTTTGTGTTTCAGTTTGGGTTCTCCTGCTTTCCCTGTTGCTTATTATTTCGTTGGGCTTTTTATTATTTTGGTTTGGTTTATTTGGTTGGCTGGAAATCACTCAGTAGATCGGGCTGGCCTGAAACTCACAGAGATCCCCCTGCCTCTGCTTCCAGAGTTCTGGGATTAAAGACATGGATCACCACCCCCTGTTCTTGGTGTTTTTGTTAGTTTTGGTTTGGATTATATGTGGTCTTTAGATTTTGTTGTTTTTCGTTGCTATTGTTTCTCTAAGAGACTTTGTTGATGGTTTGTTTTTTTTCCAGCCAGGATCTCAGTGGGTAGCTCAGGCTGCTCTGGACCTCTATATCTGTCTGTTTTGGCCTCCTGAGTGCTGGGATTAAAGGTTCGAACCAGTATGACCCAGCTCGGATTTCTGTTCTTGTTAGCATAGATAAAGCAAAAGTGAAAAAGTGGAATAGGCTCAAAGGAAGGATATCTAAAGTTTTCTCTTCTGGTTTGGTTGGGTTTTTTGTTTTTTGTTTTTTTCCCCAAATAGGGAAAACTTTTTTGTCTGTTTTAAGACAGTCTCATTTAGCTTCATCTGGTTTGTAATTTTAGTGCTATGAACTTTCCTCTTGGCACTGTTTTCATTGTGTCCCATAGTTTTGGGTATGTTGTGCTGTTTTTTTCATTGAATTTTAAGAAGTCTTTTTTTTTTTTTTTTTTTTTTGGTTTTTCGAGACAGGGTTTCTCTGTGTAGCTTTGGAGCCTATCCTGGCACTCGCTCTGGAGACTAGACTGGCCTCGAACTCAGAGATCCACCTGCCTCTGCCTCCCAAGTGCTGGGATTAAAGGCATGCGCCACCAACGCCCAGCTTTAGGAAGTCTTTAATATTTATTTATTTATTTGTTTGTTTATTTATTTATGTATTTTGTTTTTCCAAGACAGGGGTTCTCTGTGAAGATTTGAAGCCTGTCTTGGAACTAGCTCTTGTAGACCAGGCTGGTCTCGAACTTTGAGATCCTCCAAGCCTCTGCCTCCCAAGTGCTGAAACTAAAGGCATGCACTACCACCACCCAGAGGCATGGCGCCAAAGCAGGTCCTGGAATGCTGCTCTGGGTTCGCGCTCCCAGAGTTTTAATAACCTGTTGTTTCTAAACAGAATTTAAACTACAAAGAGCAATTTGGGTTACAGAGAGAGCCTAGGGCTTTCCTCAGGATGAGAGCCGAGAGTGGCCGGGGGGGAGGGGGGGAGCACTCGGGAGACCTGCTCCACTCTGAGGCACCTGCAAGCAGCTCAGGTGGGCCACAAACGGCCTCAATCCCCGCGGCTCTCGAGATCCGGGTCACGGGTCACGCCAAGCAAAAACAGCCTAAGCTAGGTAGACTACCAACGTGGTTCCCGGGTTCCTGCTGCTCCTACACTGGCAGGATGGGTCAGGGAAGCAGATCAGAGGCTGAGGAACGCTATGAGCCGTGAGCAGGGTGACGGGCACCTGCCCCAGCGTGCCCAGCAGAACCCATCCGGGCCACGCGGACCTGGCGCAGGCCTGCCGGGCGGGACAGAAGCGCAAGGCAGGCGATTACGCGGCTTGCCAGGAAGACTGAGTTGTACGGCAGCCGCTTGGTTCATTGCGAACAGAGCGGCGTTAGTGGGGTGCGACTAATGCTACAAAGGAATGCTTGTGACTGTGGAGGGGACGGTGGGGGGGGGGGGGGGGGGGGGGGGGCTCGCT